AGTAGCTGCCTGAGTGAAGAGATGCTTCTAGCTCCAGTGGACCAGGAGCAGGAGCCAGAGCTGAAGCCCAAGGTTGAGGGGCTGTCACACAGCCCCTAAAGACTAGTACTTTGAACTCTGACTTAAAGCCTTCAAACTGTGAGAGAATAAACTCCTGTTTCTTCAAGGCATCCCATTTGTGGTATATTCCTGTCAAAGTGGCACTAGGTAACCAAAATATGTGGCAAAATGATCAAAATTTATGAATAAACTACTTCATATTAAAAGTCTATCTTTACTGAGTACTTTCTGGAAGTCTACAGCTGTGACTGCTGTAGTCTTCCTGCCTCAGCATGTTCTACTTCTTATATGATAATAAAACAGTTGCTATCGTCTGTTGTTAGGTGCCGTCGAGTTGGCTGCCACTCATGGTGACCCTATTATGTACACAGGAATTTTTCTCCAGGGAATAATCTCTTCTGACAACATGATCAAAGTAGGTGAGACAAAGTCTGGCCATTCTTGCTTCCAAGGAGCATTCTAGCTGCACTTTTTCCAGAACAGATCTGTTAGTTCTTCTGCCAGTCCATGGTTCTTTCAGTATTCTGCTCCAATACTACAATTCAAAAGCACCAACTCTTCTTGGGTCTTCCTTGTTCATTGCCAAGCTTTAATATGCATATGAGGTGACTGAAAATAGCATAGCTTGGATTAGGTGCACCTTAGTCTCCAAAGAGACATCTTTGCTCTTCAGCACTTTAAAGAGGTCTTTTGTAGCAGATTTGCCTAGTGAAATATATCGTCTGATTTCTTGTCTGCTGCTTCCATTCCTTAATTTCACTGGTGGGCTATCCTGAGTTCTCTCCTTAGTTTCCTTAGTCTCCAAGCCAGTTTAATGTGAGCCTAACAACAATGGACAAATAACATGAAACACATATAGAGTTTTAAATATTCTAGCAGTTACGTTTTCAGAAACATAAAAGGAAACTTGTTGTTACGTCCCATTGAGTCCTTTTCAACTTTAACAACCTACCAAAAAAAAAAAAAAAACACTACATGGTCCTGGGCCATACTTAACATCATTGTTATGCTTGAACACATCATTGCAGCCACTGTGTTGGGGATCTTCCCCTCTTACACTGACCCTCTGCTTTACCAAGCATGATACCTTGATCCTTCCTAATAGCATAACTAAAGTACATGAGATGAAGTCTGGCCATTCTCCTTTTAAAGGAGCATTCCTGCTGTACTACTTCTAATGAAACTATGTTCTTTTATCTTCCAGTCCATGGTAAATTCATATTCTTCACCAACAACATGATTGAAGCACATTAATTCTTCTGGGACGTTCCTTATGTTACTTTTCTGGTATAGTGACTCGGTGTATTCCTTCTATCTTCTTTTGATGCTTCCTGCATCATTCAATATTTTTCCCATACAAAAACCAAACCAAACTCATTGCCTTTGAGTCAAATCCAACTCATAGCAGCCCATAGACTCTTCAATATTGCAACTTGAGGGTTAAATTTTTTCCTCAGTTCTTTCAGTTTGAGAAATGCCTATGGTGTTCTTCCCTTTTGGTTTTCTAACTCTAGGTCTTTGCACACTTCATTATAATAATTGACTTTGTCTTTTCAGTCTGCTCTATGAAATCTTCTGTTCAGCTGTTTTATCTTGTCATGTCTTCCATTTGCTTTAGCTACTCTCTGTTCAAGGACAAGTTTCAGAGTCTCTTTTGACATCCATTTTGGTCTTTTCTTCCTTTCTTGTCTTTTTAATGACCTTTTACTTTCTTCATGGATGATGTTCTTGATGTTATACCATAGTTCCTCTGGTTTTGGGTCATTGGTGTTCAGTGCATGAAATCTATTCTTTAGATGGTCTCTGAACTCAGGAGGGATATTACCAAGGTTATATTTTGGTTCTCATGGACTTGTTTTAACTGTCTTCAACTTCAATTTGAACTTGCATGTGAGCAGTTGATAGTCTGTTCCACAATCAGCTCCTGGCCTTGTTTTGGCTGAAGATATTGAGCTTTTCTATAGCCTCTTGTCACAGAGGTAATCAATCTGTTTCCTGTATACTCCATCTAGTGAAGTCCATGTGTATAGGCACCATTTTGTGTTGTTGAAAAAAGGTATTTGCAATTAATAAGTGTTGCAAAATTCTATCATGCAAACTCTAGCATTATTTCTATCACCAAAGCCAAATTTTTCAACTACCAGTTATTCTTCTTTATTTCTAAATTTTGCATTCCAGTCCCCAGTGATAATTGATAATAATTAATAATAATAATTAATAATAATTAATAAGTAATAATTAATCTTGATTGCATGATCTGTCAATTTCAAACTGCAGAAGTTGATAAAATTGTTCAATTTCCTCATCTTTGGCTTTGGTGTTTGGTGCATAGATTTGAGTAATAATAGTATTAACTGGTCTTCCTTGTAGGCATATGTATATTATCCTATCATTGACAGCACTGAACTTAAGGGCAGATCTTGAAACATCCTTTGTGATGGTGAATGTCACACTTTCCTTTTGAATTTGTCATACCCAACACAGTAGAGCATATAGTTGTCTGATTCCAAATGGCCAAAACCAGTCTATCTAAGTTCACTAATGCCTAGGATATTGATCTTTAAGCATTTCATTTCATTTTTGACAACTTTCAATTTTCCTAGATTCATACTTCGTACTTTCCATGTTTGGATTATTAATGGATGTTTGCAGCTGTTTCTCCTCTATTTGAGTTGTGCCACATCAGCAAATGGAAGTCCTGAAAGATTTACTCTATCCATATCATTAAGGTTGGTTCTACTCTGATGAGACAGCTCTTTCCCAGTCATATTTTGAGTGCCCTCCAACCTAAAAGGCTCATTGTCTGCCACTGCTCTTATGCAAGTTCAAGTTGAAGTTTCAGACAATTAAAATAAGTCCACAAGAGCCAAAATATGATGACAATATCCCTCCTGAATTTGGAGACCATCTAAAAAATAGATTTCATGCATTGAACACCAATCACCTTAATGTCCTCCAAATTAATCCATGTTATGAGATGATTTGTGTATTCTTCATTATTGCAACTCGAGGCTTTTCATCATGTGATAGTCAATAACATATTCATGTTACCAGGAATAGGAGTGAAGGGAAGGGCAAATTTCAGACTAGTTGGGGGTCACATGTTGATTTGGATGAGGGGAGGGATGGTATGGAAAGACTCTGTGACCAGCATAATGACATTGGGAAAGGAAGGACACTGAAACATGTACAAAAGATGTAGACACCAGAGACAAGTATTAGTACATATACTATACTGCATTACCACTAGCAGCAAACACCAGGCTACAAAAAAATGCATAGGCAGGTGAGAAGATCAAGTGAAGATAGGCAAAAAGGAATATACCCTAGACCAAGGATAGATTTGGCTGAAGGTAATCTTACATATGCACTTGTGCTACAAAATTAGCCACATACATGACAGAAGCAACAGAAGACAGAGTTGAAGTAAGCACTCAGAGACAACCAAACACCTTGAGAGAGAAAATCACCAGGCCTGCAGACTCAGGATCATAGTTTTGGGAGACATCATGCTCAATTGGCACAACATGGTACATAAAAATCTTGTTCTATAACTTGCTTTGGTGAGTAGTGACTGGGTTGTTAAAACCTTTTGAACAGCCATCTGAGATGCATCAATTGGTCTCCTGTTACCTAAATCAAAGAAGAGTGAGGAAAATGAAAAGTATCTGGAAATAATTAATCCAAGGATAAGATGGACCATGAAGAGCTCAATCTTCATGACCCCAAGACCAGAAGAGTTAGTTGGTGCCCAGCTACCAATGCCAACCACTCAGAAAGGGATCAAAACTGGAGATCCTGGAGAGAGTGGGAGGAAAAAATGTGGAACAAAATTCAAAAACACAAAAATAACCAGAATTATTTATTTTTCAGATAGAGACTGGTGGAACTCCTGAGACTATGGCCCCGGATTACACTTCAGATTTAGAAATGGACTCACTTCAATGGATAGACTCAGCCCAACAGTAAAAAGACATACATGCAGAATGCCTACCCCAGGGTAATGCATTCACCTGCTCTAGGGAGATGCACCCCTTAGAACAATCAGCCATGAGACACCAGCAGAGCAGCATTTACATAGATGGAAAGCTGGACAGACAGGAATGCACAGTCAAGAAGGACACAGAGCATGGACAATCATAGGGATGGGAGAGGAAGAGTGATTTTTATGGTTAGGGATGGCAATCAGGGCATGGAATCAAATGTGCATAAACTATTGAATGTAAAACAAATTTGCTTTGTAAATTTGTATCCAAAGCACAATAAAATAATAATAATAATAAAATATACTGACCACATTTCCTCTCTTTTGACTTTCTGTCATAATCTCTTGAGTAGTTGTCTTTATGCTCCAGCTCCATTATAAACCCCAGTGCCATTTACACAGTACAATTCTGAAATACTGTGTAATGTGTGCTTGGGTGTATGTGTTCTTAAAAATGTGAAATATTGGAAATAGGGTATATTTTTTAAGATACAAGTATAAGAAGAAATAATTATATCCATGAATAACTCAAGGGACAGCCAACATATTATTAGCTCAATCATAAAGAGAAGCCATGACATCTCAAGCAAGAAAAAATTCACAGGCAAACATAAAGAGTTGCTCAAAATAAAGAACCATTTTTTATTGACAATAACTGACTTCCCCATCTATTTGGGAAAACAAGACCATCATAACAGAAGACTGGAGAGTAAGGGAGTAAGGGTAACATTTGGAAAACTGACAATATCATGTAGTCACCATTCACAAAAATGCCATTCTAAGAAGGAGGTCCTAGGAGATATTAACATGTAATTTTATCAATCATGTGATTTCTTGAATCAGAATTGTTCTACGAAGTGTCATTTCAGAAGTAAATGGTGCCCGAAGAGTGATATTCTACCAGCAAGAAGAATAGTATCTTCTGTAGCAAAATGGCCGGTAGCCATAGCAGCCAGAACCATATCCACAGCCATAGTGGGAGCCATAGCCACAGCCATAGCCAGAACCATAGCCACAGCCATAGCCAGAACCATAGCCACAGCCATAGCCAGAACCATAGCCACAGCCATAGCGGGAGCCATAGCCACAGCCATAGCCAGATCCATAGCCACAGCCATAGCCACAGCCATAACCAGAACCATAGCCACAGCCATAGCCATAGCCACCATAGTAGTTGCAACACATGGTGTCAAGAGGTGAAGTACCAGTTGAGGTGCAGGAAGGTGGTTCTGAAGTCTGAATGCCATCTGCTATTCCTGGACCTTTATATACTGCCAGAAAGTGGGTGGAGCACAATTAACACAGACCATGTGACCTCGTTAGTACAGCAATTTTCATTTTTGAAAAGCTCATCATGTGAAAGTCAATAACATATTCATGTGGTTATTACAGGGTCTAACAACAGCCAATGAAGACAGATATAAGAAGCAGATGTACCCTACAGGTTGCACAAGTATGTCTTTGGAATTTATTCAATACCTAACTTTGATTTTCTCCTCAGAGGCATTAACTCTCCTCCCCTTCCAGCTACACACACTTGGGCACTGAGAGATGGCCCAGCATCTCATATCTCAGCATCAGCAGCAAAACACCTGGCTTGGAGGCAAATAGTAAGGACATATGGTGAGACACTCTCAGCTTATACCTGCAAAAATGTATATAAAGTCTATACAAAATGGTTACTGCAGTAATGGCAGAAACAGGAGACAAGTGAGGCCAAGAAGATGTGATATGATTCAAAAGGAGAGTCTCAAGTAATATACCAAAGTAAACACAACCATGATTTTGTCCAAACTAATATAATCTATTCCATCTAAGGGTCCATAGAACATGCATTTTTGTATGTTAATCTCTCTTTGGGACATTTTTCCCGCTTGCCTCACCAAATATTCACCTGCTAGTATCCCAATGATCCTTTGAAAAGTTAGCTCAGGCTATATCTCCCATTAAAATCATCCCTGGGCATTCACAATGTTCATTAACCACAATTTCTCTGTTCTTCCATAGATCCCTGTGCCTAACAGTAATGTGGTACAGAGAATGTTATGTTACATTATTTTATTTTTCTGCTTCCTTCAATTAATTGTGTGTTATTTTAAACCAATAATTGTTTCATTTTCTGAGGATATAATGAACAGGCACTAACTGACTGTTGAATGAAAGGCTATAAGACTTTCTCAAACTGTACAAATGATTATATTTATTTATAGTTGGGAAATTTGCTATACAAGATAATAAACACAATAATAACCATGAAGAATATTAATAATCTCCTTTATATTCAATGCTCTATTAAAATTTACCTATAACAATATAAGGTCAGAATTTGTGGTATTTATTAACATATATACATTATGGATGAGAAAACAGGTCAGTTGCAGTTAAGTAACTTGCTCAAGGACTGTCACATGGTTAGTGACAGACTTGAAGTAGTTCAACAGCTACTATAATGTAAAAGCTAGATTGTTTCCTGCTAATAATTTTTTACTTCCATTTTTCAAATGAAACATATCTCCTTTATCTGACTAAAATTGTCAATATTTTGCAGCGTCTGCCTTACACTTCCATCATCTATATTTTCTTCAATGTGACTGTCAGTCTTAACTGACTCATGAAGTAAACTTTTGGCAGCAAACTCTAACCACTTCTCAAATCTATTCCATAACTCTCTGTAAGTACCTCACAGTGTTATAATAACTGCTCTTGTCATGGAACTGCATTTTCTATCTATATAGAGCCGAATCTTCTTAACAAATGACACTATCTGTTCTGGGAATCTTAAATGATTGTATATATAGGAAAAAAAAAGGACCTGTGATCAGAAACTTTCAGGTTAAAATAAAACTTTATTTTATAGGCCTGCTTTTAATTGTGATTGCCTACTTTTTACAGTTCTGATTCCAACAGCCAATTCATGGGAGAATGATGAGACAGTTTTCTTCCATAAAGATTTACAGCCTCAAAATCTTATGGGCATCACTCTGAGTTGGAATCAACCAGATGCCAGTGAGTTTGGTTTGTTTTTTGGTAACTTTTACAGTATTTTTTACCAAAACACATTCAATATGAGCTTTATTCTTCAAAATCCATAGTACTTCCCAAATTTCGCATTTTACCTGTTTTCTCCTCAAAACAGTTTTAGCAGATAATATTTTACTTACACAGTTCCATTGATTGCTTTTATAGACAATGATTGAATAGTAAAATTTAAATTGAAAACAGTAATCGGGGAGTACATTATGCTAGAACTGTGCCATTATATATACTGGATAAATAATATGTGATCTAGGTCACAGTGACAAGCTCTGCATTTTAGAAACTCTGCAGAGATACTGAATCACCATTTCCTTTGGGCTAGTCTTTCTTTCATCACAAGTTCCATCAAAGAATAGAGTCTATTCTATCTTTGCATTTCCTTACCCATTGAATCTTGAATTAACCATAACCAATCTCACACTCATCATCAAAATATTTGTTTTTTACAAAAGACCCACATACCTTCTGCCAACTATGGTGGAAACCTCTCAAGTAATTAATACTAGAAGATGCTAAAGATAAAGGTAGGACCAAAAAATCAGAAGAGAAGCTGCTCTATTAAAATTCACTTGTGACTAAAAATGCAATGGCAAATATTTCAGTATTCTTCCTATCACAGTATGTTTTAGAGTTCATACTATGGGATAGATATCTGATACATGTAGGAAATATATAGCTTAGAAGTGTGCCTATGTTTTTGGTATAAGAAAATTGAGATTATTGATGAATATTTTTGGAAGTGAAAATCTTGTCATTGTTAGTAGCCATAATAGGTAGAACCAAATGAAATTAACATTTTCCAATGATAAAAATGGTTAAATACCAACAATTTCATGTTAAATAACTTAATAATAAATATAATTGCAAAAAAATGCACTGAGTTCTCACAGGAGGAGGGCTTTGCATTCTTTATTTCATTAAATCTGCAACAATCTTAAGCTAACCCACTGCCATCAAGTTGATTCTGACCCATAGCAACGCTCTTTGGGTTTCCAATGTGGTAAATATGTACAGAAGTAGATTGTCTCGTCTTCCTTCTGCGGAGTAGTTAATGGGTTTTTAATCACCAATGTTCTGGTTAGCAGTCAAATGCCTTAGACACTGAGCCACCAGAGCTCCTTCATCTTCAGCTAGCTTTGCTTTATCATTTTACCTTCGGGTACCATGAGGCTCAGAATGTTAAAGCCTGTGCCAGTGGACACATAGCTACTAAGTGAGGGAGCCTATATTACATCACGCGTATTGTGACTCTGAAACACAAGCTCTTAATCACTATCTATAAAACTTTATTTGTGGAAGTGTTAGCATTTAGATTCCCTCAAGCAAATGCTATCATCCTGCATCAGGCGAGCACAGCTGAATATAGTACTTCATTGTATAATAAAACCTGAGTGTTGATTTAAAAGTGGACTTTAAAGATTTCTGGGTATATTATAGCCTCTCCTCATCGAATCCTGTGGATGTTTGCTTTTCTTTTCTTCTTCAGTTTCATAAGTAACACATACCCGTGGTAAAACTTGTTGTTTGTTGTTGTTATGTGCCGTTGAGTCGGACCCGATTCATAGCGACCCCTCCTAGGGTTGTCGAGGCAGTACCACTACGGAAGTAGATTGCCCAACCTTCCTTCTGAGGAGTGGCTGGTGAATTTGAACCTCCGGCCTTCTGGTTAGCAGTCAAGTGCCTTAGGCACTATGCTACCAGAGCTCCTGTGGTAAAACTTAGGAAGTATAATTTCTTCTCAATAGCAAGGGAGTATAGCATAAACAATTAAGGAGCTCTACAGAGAGGAAGAGTCTGATTTGTAACATTTGTTCATTTCTACTCCATGGTACCTAACAACAACAACAACATCATATAAACAGGAAGCAATAACAGGTCAGTGGTAGAATTCTTCCCCTTCTATGTGGGAAGACCCGAGTTTCATGGAGGCTTGTACATTGCTGTAAGGCCAAACAGGCTTTAGTTGAGCTGACACACCAGGAAGAAGAGTTTGGTGAGATATTTGCAAAAATTGGCCAATGAAACCCAATTGACAACAAGAACAACAAATGAAAATACAGCAACATAGCCAGTTTCACGTAATCAATGATTTAACAACTAAAAATTTCTAAACCAACTATAAGTAGTTTAATAATTTATATTTAATATTTAGAAATTTAATCAATATAGAATTTCTTTCATTTTGTATCAAACTGGTGGCAAATTTATCAAAATTTATTAATGAACTATCTCATATTAAAACTCTGTCTTCACTTATTACTTGCTGGAAATCTGCAGCTCTGGCTACTATGGTCTTGCTGCCTCAGAATATTCTACTCCCTATATCATAATAGCATGGTGAGATTCCTTAATATCTCTGGTGGTTAGCATGAGTTTTCTTCTTAGTCCCATCTTCTCCTGGCCAGTGTAGTGTGGTCCTCCTGAACAACACTTAGAAATAAAACATGAAACACATATAGAATTTTAAATATCTTAGCAATTACATTTAAAAAAGATAAAACGAAACTTTGTTTTGAAATGATATTGAGTCCTTTTCAACTTATAATAACTATCTGTACAACAAACCAAAACAATGTCTAGTCCTGGGCTATCCTCACAATCATTGTTATGCTTGAACATACTGTTGCAGACACTGTGTAAATCCATCTCATTGAGGGTCTTCCCCTTTTCTACTGACCCTCTGAATTATCAAGCATGGTATTCTGGTCCTTCCTGGTAGCTTGACCAAAGTACAAGAGATGATGAAGTCTAGCCATTCTCCCCTCCAAGGAGCATTCCTGCTGTACTTCTTCCAACACAGATTTGTTCTATCATCTGCCAGTCCATCTTATATCCATATTCTTCAACAACATCCTTCAAATACCTCAGTCCTTCTAGAGTATTCTTTATTCATTTTCACACTTTCACATGCATATAAGGTAACTGAAAATACCAAGGGCCAAGTACACATTGGTCTTCAAAATAATATTTGGTCTTTAATACTTTAAAGAGGTCTTGGCAGCAAATTTGATTTTTTGACTGCAGCTTCCATGGGTGTTGATAGTGGATCCCAGTAAAAACAAAATCCTTGACAAATCCAATCTTTCTTCGTTTGTTATGATGTTATTTATAGGTGCAATTGTGAAGATTTTTGTTTCCTTAATGTTCAG